TTTCTGAACCCAGCTGCGGTGCTGGGGTGAGAACCCAGGAATCCGGGCCCCAGTTGCTATGTGCAAGACCGCCCCCCTCCCCACCCCCATCTGCAGTGGTGAAGGGAACCCAGGAATCCAGGCCCACCTGCTTGAGCAGCGTGTAGTTGGAGCCATCCAGGTTAAGCTTGCGCAGGTAGTAGCGGTTGGCAAAGATAAGGAAGGGCTCATCACCTGCGAGGGGATGCCTGGGTCAGCTGGGTCAAATCATGCCCCCACCAGGACATGCACGTATGCACACGTGCCTGTTTGTGGCCTCTGCAGAGTGCAGGGGCAGCAGGATTCCTCCCCCCGACCCAAACACAAGCAGGGCAAGTTGCTCAGTACCCTCTGAATGGGGCCTATGGAGCCCAAGGGCATCGGCCCAAACACAGCATCCACTCTGGGCATGCCACCACAACTGTGCATATTCACCTGTGCACACACAGGTGTACATGTGGACATACATGTGCATGTGAACACACGCTTGTGCATGCACACACAGGCAGGCACATATGTGCATGCATTCATACATACACATATTTACATACATGCCTGCACATACCTACCTGGGTGCACCCACGCATACATACACCCTTGTGCACATGCATGCCTACCTGTGAACACAGGCATGCACACATGCCTACATATGCCTCCACAGACACAGGCGCGCACACACACACACCTACATGTCCCCACACAGGCATACACACGTGCACACACCTGCCTACCTATGCACACACAGGCAAACATGCATGCAAACTTATGTGCACATACATGCTTACATGTGCCCGCAGAGGCACGCACACACAAACACAATGCCTACCATGCACATACATGCCTACACACATGCACACGCAAGCCAACATGTGCCTGCACAAGCGTACACACAGAGGCACATGCATTGCCTGTGTGCACACACACACCTGTACACACACACCTGTACACACACACACACTTACATTCATGCCTACACGTGCCCACACAGGCATACACACACACACACGTGCACACACATGCCTACCTATGCAGACACAGGCAAACAGGCATGCACACACATGTGCACATACATTTATGTACAGGCATACACACACACTCAGAAGCACACGCACTGCCTTCCTGTGCACACAGAGGCACGCATGCCCACAGACGCATGTGCACACAGGCCTCCAGGCACCCACATACAGGCTCACCGGACACGGCTTTGCAGCTGGTGGGGTTGTCGGGCCGCAGGCGGTAGCCCTGGCGGCACAGGCACTTGTAGCTGCCCAGCGTGTTGATGCAGATCTGGCTGCAGGGGTAGGTGGTGGAGCACTCGTCCACATCCACGCATGTCTTCCCGTCGTCCTTCAGCCGGAACCCGGGGCGGCACCGGCACTGTGGGGGTTGTGGGGTCAGGGCGTGCCATGTCAGCCCTCATGCAAAGCCCCCCCACACCACCCCACTGTGCGCCCATGAGCGCGTGCACGGTGCCCAGCAGCGAGCATGCATGAGCAGTGCCCTGGACACAATGCATGGGACTGCGTGCACCAGTGCATGCCGCCTGGGACAGACTGGGCATGGGTGCATGCAACACTGGTGGGAGGAGGCCTGGGTAGTGTGAGCACACGCGCGTGCAGTGCGCCATGGGCTGCGTGACTCTGCTGGGGGGGTGCAAGGCGCAGCTCTGCACCCGCTCCCCCGCCAGCTGCTCCAGGATGTGCTGCCCCCTGGGGACTGGCATGGGCAAGGCCAGGAGTGTGAAGCTGTGTTTGTGTGTATGCGCACATGCACGTGTGTATACTGCCCCCTGGTGGCTAATGTGGGCAGGACTGGGAGAGTGCAAGGCTGTGTGTGTGTGTGTGTGTGTGTGTGTGTGTGTGTGTGTGTGTGTGTGTGTGTGTGTGTGTGTGTGTATACATACACACACGTACATTCTCTTACACCCCCCCCATGCAAATATGTGTGCATCTGCTGCCCCCTGGTGGCTGGTGTGGGCAGGGCCAGAAGTGTGCAGTGCCATGTTTGTGCATGGGCAAACCCCCCCCCCCCATGCTGCCCCCTGGTGGCTGGTGTAGGCAGGGCTGGAAGCTTGTGCATGTGTGTTGGTGTGTGTGTGCATGCATATGTATGTGCTGCCCCCTGGTGGCTGGCATGGGTAAAGCAGGGAGCATGTGAGGTTGTGTGCGCGCGTGTGTGCACACACATGTGCATATAGCTGGTACAGGCAGAGCGAGGAGCATGCCAGGCTGTGTATGTGCATGCGCATATAAATGGCATGGGCAAGCTGGGAGCATGCCAGGCCGTGTGCATATGTGCAGGTATGCGCACACAGTTGCCATGGGCAGGACTAAGAGCATGCCAGGCCATGTGTATGTGAACACGCATGTGCATATCCCCCATGCTCTCAGCTGGGCCAACCTTGTAGCCGATGCGCAGGTCCTCACAGTCCTGGGAGCAGCCGCTGAGCTTACGATTGAGGCACTCATTGATGAAGCAATTGAGCTCGTCGGAGCCATCAGCACAATCAGCACGGCCGTCGCACAGCAGCGCCTCGGGCACGCAGGCCCCCGTCTTGCACAGGAAGAACGAGTCGTTGCACTTGCTCTCTGCAACGAGGCCATGGGGGGGGCATCACTGGAGGTGCCCTGATGTCAGCCCCCACAGCCCCCTGTGGCAGCTGGCCTGTGCCCCAGGCAGCCGGGCCTGGAGCATGTGAGGCCATGTGTGTGTGAGCATGCATGTGTATGCATGCACGTGCATGCGAGGCTGTGTGTGCATGTGGGGCTGTATGTGCATGTGCATGCATATGTATGTGAGACTATGTATACACATGCATGTGTGTGCACGCATGCATGTGTGCATGCATGTGAAGTTGTGTGTGCATGCATCTGTATGTGAGGCTGTATGCACGTGAGTGTATGTGTGCGTGTGCACACAGGCACATGCATGTCAGGCTCTGTACGTGCATATAAGTGCGCGTGAGGCCATATGTGTATAGGCATGTGTTTGTGTGCACACACACATTTGCTGCCCTCCGGTGGCTGCAACATGCAAAGCCGCGCACTTGTGCGTGTGTGTGTGCGAGAGAGAGAGGCCATGTGTGCCGCTGCCTGGTGGTTGGAGCGAGCACGCGGAGCCAGGAGAGTAAGAGGCTGCGCGCGTGTGCACACGTGTGTACAGTGAGTGCTGCCCCCTGGCAGCCAGCGTGGGCACCAGTGCCTCCCCCACAGCCCCCAGGCTGGCACACACCGGAGCTGGTGCAGCGCGGGTTCTTGGGTGCCTCGTCTGAGTGGTCGTGGCAGTCGAACTCGCCGTCGCACTCCCACTGTGCGTTGCTCAGGCAGCGCCCGTTGGCGCAGCGGAACTCATGGGGGCCGCACGTCGGGTACTCTGGGGGGTGGGGAACAGTCAGGCCCGGAGCTCCCCTCACACCCCCAGGCCCTCTGGGGCAGTGGGCATGGCTCCCCAGTGCCCCTCTTCCCACAGCACCCGCCTGGAGCTCCCCCCTTGCTTGGGGGGCTCACGGTCCCACGGGTGCTGCCTTGGGCCCCACGGCACCCACCGCACTCCAGGGACTCGTCCGAGCCGTCACTGCAGTCATGGTCGTGGTCGCACACAAAGTGCTTGGGGATGCACTGCCGGTTGGCACACATGAACTCCCGCTCGTCGCACGTGTTGTTGTACACTGTGGGGGGGGAACACCATGGGTCATCAGCGTCACACGGCCCCCCCCCGCCCTCCTTGACTTGCTGAGGGAAACAGGTATGGTAGGGCTCGTCCGAGGCCATGCAGAAAAGGACCCAGGTGTCCTGGCAGTCCTCTGAGAGCCCAGCCCCCACCTCCTGGAGCAGAACCCAGGGGTCCCATGATTGGTGGGTAGAGCCCCCCCACTCCCGCCGCCCTTGCACTCACAGCAGCCGGCAGCAAGGGTCTCGTCAGCACCATCGGCGCAGTCCTTGTCGCCGTCACAGAGCCAGCGCTCAGGCACGCACACGTAGGTGCCCGGGCACTGGAAGGACCCAGCACTGCAGGTCGTCAGGCCTGGGGTCAGGGGGCAGAGGTCAGCGCCTGCTCCCACTACTAGGCCTCACCTCCTCCCAGGCCAGGTGTCCTTGCTGCCACCCCCCTGCGGCTCTAACCGCTGCACCCCGCTTCCCTCCCGGGCCTAGGAGGAGAACCCAGGCATCAGGCCCCCCCACCCCCTCCGGCAGCGCTCACGGCAGTGGGTGCCCTCGTCGGAGCCGTCCCCGCAGTCGTCGGCGCCATCGCACACCCACAGCTTAGAGATGCAGCGGTGGTTCTTGCACTCAAACTGCATGGGGTAGCAGAACTTGTCTGTGGGGGGGAGAAGCCGTTAGGGCCGTGCCAGGTTGGGCCAGGGTCCCCCAGGCTCCCACCTTCCAGAGATCAAAGACTCCCTACCCCCAACTTCTCATGATGCCCCTTGCTGCCCCAACTCCAGGCACCGCAAGGGTCCTCCACGCCCTTTCCACAATGCCCTGCTCCATCTCCCCTTACCCCCCGTCCTCCATGCCCTTCCCACAATGCCCAGCGCAGCTCACTGCAGTGGGTCTCGTCCTCGCCGTTCTCGCAGTCGTCCTCCTTGTCGCAGGTCCAGGTCATGGGGATGCAGCGCCCACTGGGGCAAGCAAAGTAGTTGGCCGGGCACTTGGGCTTCCGCATGCCTGGGGGGAGGGGGGCACATGATGTCATAGGAAGGAGGCACCCCACCCCCAGGGTCCCTTGCTTGCATAGCTTTGCCTGCCCCGCCCCCCTGGCAGCCTGAGCCCCCCAGGCTGGCAATACCCCTCCGTACCAGGGCAATTTCGCTCGTCGGAGTAGTCACCGCAGTCGTTGGCGCCATCACAGACCCAGGTCGGGGCGTAGCACAGTGACGTGTGCTCGCACTGCTGGAACGTCATGCCCTTCACCCCCAGCTTAAAGTAGCTGCTGCAGTCAGTGGCGGCTGCAGAGAACCAGCCCCAGGGCCCAGTGTGAAGGGTGGGGCCTGCCGGGGCCCCGGGCACATGCACACGTCGCACGCACATTGTACACAACCCCCACACACCGTGCACAGAGCACACAAGCCTCCCAGAGCGGTGCAGATCAGGCACAGAGCATCCATGTATTGAGCAGGGAGCACGCACGCATGCACATGGGGCATGCGCACAAGCACCATCCACACATGCATGGGGAGCACGCACACACAGAAGGCAAATGCACACACATGGAATTTATATACATGCACATGGAGCACGCACACAGCTCACAGGCACTGCAGATGGAGAGCACACATGTTGTGCATGGAGCACACGCACATCGTGGAGTGGTGCACATCACGCAGAGCCCACACGTCACCTGCACAGCACATGTGCACCACACGTGGAGCATGCCCACATGGACTGTGCACACACACACACACAGAATAGACACATCACATACAGAGCCCATGCATCACCTGCACAGTGCACATGCATGGAGCATGTCCACGTGGAGTGCCCATGCAGGCACACACAGAACGCATATGCACACATGTGGAATTCACATGCATGTGCACAAAACACACGCAGCTCAGGCATGACAGACAGCGCACACACATCATGCACGGAGTGCGAATGTGCCCCACGTGCATGACACACGGCCTAAGAGCACATCCAAAACTTCCACCCCCCACAATGCACACCCCACCACCCCTTTCCCACTCCCACCACTCCAGGACCCCATTCCTGTACCCTCCTGGGGTCACATCCAGCCCTTGGCTCTGCCCGCCCTGCACCTCCTGCCAGCCAGGGGTGCCCTGCAGCCCCCTCCCAAGTGTCCACGTCCCCACCACACAGCAGCAGCCACATCAGGCCCACATGGAGGCGCCAGGCATGGGGCTGGGGGGTCAGGGGAGTTTGGGTGGGCACTCACTGCAGTTCATCTCGTCGGATGCATCCTCACAGTCGATGATCTGGTTGCAGCGGCTCGAGTTCCCGATGCATCTCCCATCACGGCACCGGAACTCCGTGGCAGTGCAACTGGTCTCTGCAGGATGGGAGGTGGCAGAGACCAGTGCTGTGAGCTCTTCACTCACACACACGTGCTCACATGTGCATGCATGCTGCCCTGGGGACAATGCACCACGGCCAGCCGCACACATGCCATGCCCCCCTGCACACTCATGCGCAGATGCACACACACTAAACCAGGGCCATGTGGCTGAGCTGGAGGCCTGCCCAGGCACCATGGAGGCTCCATGCCCATGGTGGGGGGCGACCACGGCCTGCCTGGTGGGGAGCAGGGGGCACTCACTGTTGCATGGGACTTCGTCAGAGTTGTCACCACAGTTGTCGACTCCATTGCACCAGTCACGCGTGGCCACACAGCGCCCGTTCATGCAGTGCAGGTAGCCCTTCTTGCACTTGCGGCTGCCTGCAGGGGTGGAGGAGGGGCATGAGGTGTGGGGAGGGTTTCAGGGTCCACGGGGCTCCCAACCCCCCTATGAGTGTCTGTGGGGTGGAGGGGAATAGCTCAGGTTGAGCAGCCCCCTCCTGCTCCATTGTCCCCACCCCTCCCCCCGAGCTAGGTTGGAACCCGGGAGTCCGGACTTGCAGATCCCTCCTGGCTGCACCCCCAGACCAGGATGGGACCCCCGAGTCCAGGCGGGGCCTTACTGCAGTAGGACTGCTTCTCGTCCGACTTGTCCTTGCAGTGGGCAACGCTGTCGCAGGTGAGCGCAAAGTCGATGCAGTCGCCATTGCCGCACTCGAACTCCTCGTGCGCGTTGCAAGTGGAGTTGGGAGCTGCAGCAGGGGCACCAAGCACCAGGTGTCAGCCACCAGCCCCAGCCCAGCCCCAAGCTCCCATGCGCTCCCTCCCCTGCGCTCACCTTTGCATGTGAGGTCGTCCTGCAGCACCCGATCGCCACGGCACGAGCAGTTCACTTGCCCCCGGGGTGTGAGGAGGCACAGGTCCTGGCAGCCCCCGTTGTTCACACGGCACGGGGACAGCTCACCTGGAGGGGGTGAAGGGTCATGTATATGGCCAGGGGGTGTCCAGCATCCCTCCAGGCCTGGCACACACTCCCATCGAGGCCCCCACACCCTCATACTCACCCCTGAGCCCCCCACCCTTGGAGACAGTAGGGGAGAAAAGTGGCACAGGCTGGGGGGGCAGGTGGCAGAGCTACCAGGGCCAGGAGGGGGTCGGTGGGGCAAGACCCCTGCACCTACAAGGGGCAGCACTGAGGGCAGATGGGCAGGGGTAAATCGCCACCATGCAGGGAGCCAGGAGAGGGGTCAGGGGTGAGGGTGCCCCCCCATGCCCAGACTCACAGCTGTTGGTGTCGTTGGCCACGGCGATGATGCCCATGGGCTGCTGGGGGATGTCGACACGCAGCAGCCGCATGTCGGAGCCCATGTGCTTGTTGGCACGCTGCACGGCGCGGCGCACCCAGTCCGTCCAGAAGATGTAGTCGCTGTACACGGCCAGGCCAAATGGGTGCACCGGCTCTGACTTCAGGATCACCTGCCCCAACGCCCCACAGCACCGTCAGCACCAAGGGCTGGAGGGGGGGCAACCCCCGAGTCCCAGCCCCCTGCACCCCATGACTCACATAGCGATGGGAGCCATCATACTCGCAGCGCTCAATCTTGTCCAGCGTGGCATCAGAGAAGTAGAGCTTCTCAGCCTGGTGGTCGATGGCCAGCCCATTGGGTGTGCGGATGTCCTGGTCGATGATGATGATGACGTTGGCACCTCCCAGCGTGGCACGCATGATGCTAGGGTGCTGCTCATTCCAGTTGGTCCAAAACATCAGGCTGGATGTGTGGGGGGGGGGGACATGGGGCTGAGCCAACCCCTGCCAGGACAGCAGGGGCCCTTCTTCTCCCCAAAGGCATCTCCAGCACCCGGCAAGGGTTTGTCCCACCGGCTGTGTGGCCAGGATCTGGGGCCTGGCTGTGGCACCCCCCCCACTGCCCCACTTACTTCTGGCACTCATCCAGCACGAAGGCACGGGGGTGGTCGTCACTCGACATGGTGATGACAGTCTCGCGCTCAAAGGCGCCCACACGGCTCTGGTCCACTGTGTGCCGCGTGATGGTGGACGTGGTGTAGCTGGTCCAGTAGAGCGTGTCCCAGCCCCGGTGGTAAGCCAGCCCCTCCACTGAGCCCACATCTGGGGGGCAGAGGGGAGGGGTGAGATGATGGTACCTGCCACCCCGCTAGCGCCTCCCCCGCATGCTGAGAATGATGCCCCAGAAGCCAAATTCTGCTCCCGGCTGCACTGGTGGAAGCCGGAGATCAGAATTGGGCCCCCACGTGCTCTTGCGGCCGTGACCTTTGGCCTCAGAAGGTATAAGTGCTATAGCCTGTCCGGCCCTTGTGAACTACCTTGCACAATGAGCGTGATGCACATGTGCAGGTAACTGGGAAAGACACCAGGCAGGAAGCAGGGAGCAAGCACCAGCCTCTGTGTCCTGGGGACCTTCCTCATCAGCTCCCCTGCACTGTCACACAACAGGTGAGACATGGACACAAGGAAGGTGCTGTGCAGGGAGCTGGAAGTACGTGCTTGTCTCAAAGCCCCGGGGACCAAGGGCCCCACTCCCTACTGCCCAACCCACATGAGTTCCCTCACACTATTGCACGATGGGCATGAGCCATGGGCACAAGGAAGGTGCCATTCAGGGAGCTGGCAAGCACTAGGAACACTCCCACTTCTCCAAAACCTGGCCTCCCCAGGCCCCGGAGGTCAGGGAGCAGAGGGGATGGGCGCCCTCACTCTCCACGATGGTCTTGCGCCCGGTGCCGTCGTCGTTGATCTGCTGGATGTTGCCAAAGTGGATGTCACTGTAGAAGATGCGGCTGGCACCCTGCACCCCACCCTGGTAGTCAAAGGCCAATGCGATAACGTTTTTCATGTGCTCGGCGTCTTCGAAGGGCTTGATGGGCGCGTTGAGGTTGGTCTCGTCCGACAGGTGTATGCTCTTGAGGATGGTGCGCTCCGAGTAGAGCAGGTAGCCGTCATAGTCACGGCAGCTCACACCGTCCTCGGCCAGCATGCCGTGGGCACATGCACATGTTCGCCGGCCCCCGCCCCGGAACAGGCACAGCTGCTCACAGCCCCCATTGCTCTGGGAACAGATGTTGGTGCCTGTGGGGAGTGCAGCATGGCATCAGACAGAGCAGGGGAGGGAGCCGAGCCCGGGCACAGGCTGAGAGTGTGGGCAGTGTCAGCGGCCCCAGGGAGCAGCCAGGGCCTTTGGGCTGTGAGCGAGGGGCGGTGCATGGGATGCTGGGGGTGAGAGTGTGCGTGTAATACTGAGGGTGAGTGTGATACTAGGAGTAAGTGTGTGTGTGATACTGGAGGTGAGTGTGTGAGTGGGATACTGGGGGTGAGAGTGTGCGTGTGATACTGAGGGTGAGTGTGATACTAGGGGTAAGTGTGTGTGTGATACTGGAGGTGAGTATGTGTGTGGGATACTGGGGGCGAGAGCATGTGTGTGTGATTCCATGTGTGCAGGACCATAAGAGAGCAGGAGAGATAAGGGGGAATACGTGAGAGTCCATGTGCAATGCTACATGCAAGATCTGTAGTGCGTGCGTGTGTGTGTGTGAGTGAGTGAGAGAAAAAAGCTGGGGGGGGAGGGGAGTGGGTTGACTGTGAGACAATGCACATGTAACTCCAGGGCTGTACAGTGTAACTGCGAAACACGGAGCGAGTGTGTGTTTCTGTACATGAAACTCCAGGGGTTGTACACATGTGAGTAGGAAACATGGGGCATAAGCACATGCACACTTGTGTGTGAGAAACTCATGGGACATGGGGAGTGGGTGTGTGCATGTGAGAGACCCTGCCTGGAAGTGAGGGAACTGCATGTGCACAAGAGCCAGGCTGTGCACATACGCACACATGACAGGTGACATATGCACCCATAAGGGCACGCGTGAGGGACACTGCTTGCCTCATCTGCAGCTCCAGATGCCTCCCCGAGCTCTGCTGTCCAGCCAGTGCCAGGGCACAGAAGAGGGCCCCTACTCAGGGGGCTCCCATGCCTGCCCCAGCCCCAGGACCCCCTGCGCCAGCCCCAAACA